GTGCCACCGTCCCAACACCCAAAAGTTGTAATTCTGGTGAACCCCCCCCTCTCTCTCTCTCTCTCTCTCGGCATTTATAGTTTTTATTCTTCCTTATCATGGATCAAAAAAAACTAATGATTATGTCCCTGAATTTGTTTTAACCATATATACCTAAGCTATTCAGTACTGTGACAGGTGATGAATGCAACTCAACATTTTATTAGAACCACATGTCAAATATATATAGAGAGAGAAATCCTTTCCTTGGTGGATGAGAATTTGGGATTTTACTCTCTCTAAGATCTCAGGTTCAATTCTTTTTATCAACAAAATTCTTAAAGTCACAGACTACAAGGCATAAATTCTATTTTGAAAGGCTTGTTCAGATTGTAGGGACGTAGATACTCTACATGAAAATAAATAAAACAAAATATTATTAATCAATAATGTGGGTTGAAAATCTTGTAGTATATCAATTTCACGTGTCTCGCAATTTATTTAAGTTAAAAATAAAATAAATTTCTTGCAATGATTTTCAAATACTTAATATGAGGTTGACAAATATTTTTCAAATGTTTTATGATGACAATTAAGGTATGAATTTCATTAAATTAATATGTATATGTAAAGATATAATTAACGCAAATTAAGAATTAGCTATCAAAATTTTAAAGACAAAAGTGAAAGGTTGAATTAGGTTGTATGTCTGGATTAAGATGTCGCATTTTTTTAATCTTGTTCTAAAGCGGAAATGTAACCAAATATTAATATTAATGTTATGCATACTTGTAGGAAAATGATACATTTGATTTGATGATAAAGAAAAAATGGGGGAGATTTTTATGCAGTTGAATGATGAAAATGGTGGGGAGGGGGAATTGGGATGTGGGGAATGACCAATCACGAGACTGATACAAGTGACACAATCCACACAGGGGAGGGAAATTATAGACTATTTTTGAAGTACCATGCACTACAATAAAATTAAATTTTTACGATTGTTAATGGATGTCATAAAAGTTTCTTTTACGATATGCACACAAATGTTATTAAATGACATGTCATGGAAAGGTAATTGTCATTTACAACATATATGTAAAGCTGTAAAATAAAAAATAAAATTATGACATACTTTGTATACCGTAAATTTTTTACGACATTTTTTTACATGTCATAAATTATTATACTTTTCACAATATAATTTTTCATGTCGTAAAATATTATTTTTAATATATTTATGAAATACTTTATATGTCATACATAATTTTTTACAATATTTTCTTACACCATAAATCGTTATATTTTTCACGATTTGTTGTGCTTGTTGTGTGTGTGTAAGAGAGGAGACTTTTTTTTTTTAATAAGTAAATGTTAGTTGTTAGTTATTAATTATTAGATTAGCACCTATTAGAAAAAATTTCTCCACCCTTAACAAAGCACTTAAGTGCTTACACTCTCTTAATTTAACTCCCTAAAAGAAATTAAACCCATAACTTTCTTGAGACCTTCTTAAAATTAAGTCTTAAAAAAGACATGTGGCCAACTAGGCTACCCCTAGTTGGTTGTGTGAGAGGAGGCTTTGGCTAACTATCACTCTTCCTAAATAGGATGGGTATACAGTACAGAGACAATTCCTCCCATCCTCCCATTGCCTTGGTTTTGGCTACCTGCTCCAACTTATCCCAATAATGTGATGATAAGTAAGTATTTGGGATTGATTTTTGTAATATTTTTTTGTAATTTTATTTAATTTTTAGTAAATTTTTAATTTAAAAAAATAAATAATGTTTGAATTATTAAATCATATCTTGCCGAATATGAATTGAATATTTAGGCCTGTTAATTACTATTTTTGCCATAAAAAATATACATTTTTTTAAATTTTCTTCATTTTATTGTTTATATTTATTTTATTTTATTGCAAAAAAAAATGGCGGGTTATTTTTAGCAAAATTTTTCCTTTTTTTGTTGTTTTTTCTTCTGAAAATAGTAAATAGAAAATGAAAAGAATACCAAAAACACTGACTTTCAATATTTTGAGGATGCTCCTATCCTACAAAAGTGGATTATTATATTTAGTGGGTTACTATTTGGTGATAAATGTTATTTGATTTGGTGTTAAATTTAATTTTTCTAGTTAAAGTTTTCACGACATGCAAATATATATCATATAAAATTATGATATATTTCGCATATCGTCTTAAGTATAAATGTTGCACAGCGATTTTTAAAAGCTGTAAAAGTATACTTTTTCTATGGCATATTTTTGCATATCATAAATATATTAATAAACGACTTACATAGCATGTGTGTCGTTATTGATAAAGTATTAACGGCTTGCAAAAAAAAAAAATATCGTAGAATACACTAACTACAACATGTATTTAATATACACCGTAAATATGAAGTCGTAAATAGTTAATTTTGTTGTAGTAACGTGTTTGTATTCCTAACTAATCATAATTTATTCTGTCTCTTCATGTTTTTCAATCACCTAATATAATATTTCATCTACCCATCTTTTTCACTAATCACAATATTATAAAATATCACGTGTAGAAAGAGAAAAGAAATAAAGAAAGAGATTATATATGGTCACGTGATATTTTATGATAACATGATTGATAAATAATATAAAGTATTGATTATTTTTTTTATTTTGAGAAATTGGTTAAAATTTGACTTTTTAGCTTTTTAAAATTTTTTTAAAAAACATATAAAAAGTAGAGAGATAATGCGGCCATTTGGGAAGAGAAAAAGTAGTTGCATTTTGCAGCATTCCAAAAAAGCCACTAGTAGCATGAAAACGCAAGTAGGCTCATTTGGGAAGTGACAAAAACGCAGGTTGTAAAATTACATAACTACCCTCCATGAAATTACATAATTGTTCAAACAATCACATGGGTCAAAGAGTAAATTTTCTAAGTTTAGTGGGGGCATTTTGGTCATTTTAATGTGATGTGATACCATAAACAAATATTATACAAAAAAACAAAAAAAAATAATCTTTTATCGACTTCCCAAATCACTTTCCAAAAAAAACACCCCAATATTATTCAAAATGAATTAAAAATTAAAAATAATTTTTTTATCCACTTGTCAAAATAAAATTTTACGTTAAATGATTAAAAAATATATATAATAAATAATAATTAGTAAAAAATATGATCGGATTTAGTGATGCTGCTACGCGGGCTGCGCAGCAGCAACTGTTGTGCGTCAAAATGGGCCCATTTTGGGACCCATTTTGATAATCCGAGCCGTTCACATTTTAAAATATATCAAGTAAAACATGCCAACAAAAAATCAAGTTAATTGAATACCATCTACTCACATTTGTATCTATAAAAATAAATAATAATTGTAAATTAAAGTATTAAAATGAATACAAATGTGAGTGGATGAATAAGTAAATGATGTCCGATTAACTTAATTTTTTATAAATATTTTTTATTTAACATATTCTAAAATATGAACGATTTAAATTATCAACATTTTGACGCATAACAGTTGCTGCCGCGTAGCGCATCACTAAATCCAATATGATCAGGTATTCTATTTTAAAACTATTAAATAATTTAAAAATGTTCCGTAGCCCGAAAAATTGAGGTTGAATGGCTCAAATGATACGAAAAATATTATCTTACCGGTAAGAGAATAAAAAAAAATCCTAAAATGTCGTTTTAAAATTTTGAACCATTCAAACCATTAATTTTTCAGACTCCGTAGCGGTGTTGTAAATAATTTTCCAAAAGAAAAAAAAGTCCCCACAACTTTCTGTCCCCGCTGCCTGACAAATCAAATCTGCCACCCCAATAATGTTTTGGGACCGTGTAAACCAGACAATCCCCTCTCTCTCTCTGTCTCTCTCCCTCCCTTCGTACCTCTGTTACAGTCTCCAACTCTAGGATCTCTCTCTGTCACACACATCTTCTTTTACTCTCATATCAGTTGAGTATTTTCCACCCGGGTTTTGGTTGGTAGCTCGAAATTTAGGGGCCGGAATGCCCCTAAATTTCCATATAAGGCAACAAAAAAAAAAGAAAAAAAAAAACAAACTTATCCAGAAAAGGAAATTAGGGCCATTAGGGCCACTGTTTTTAGGGCCACAATTCATTTTCCTTTCCACCCTTCGTTTCTCACCACGTCTGTTTCTCTCTCCTTCTTTTTCTTTTTTTTTTTTTTTTTTTTTTTTTTTGGGGGTTAACCACATTCTAACCATTTACTTCACCAATCACGACAACATTGTTTGATTCATGCTTGTATGGGGAAGAAATAATTTTTCTCGTATAATCCTGTTAACTAAGTCCACGCTTCTCCATACGATGTCGCTTTGTCACCGGAAAACACAAACGTGAGCTAGTCGGCGGGTGTGTGCCGGAAACCTCTCCGATGCCTAAGTCAAAAAACTTGACAAATAGACAAAACTCAATGTATTCAACAAGCAAAATTGTATGTTGTGTTATGTTACCTCCTCCAAGGTGATGCTTGTAAACTTTTATAGGTTTCGAGTGGCACAATCCTAGTATGACTTTTATTTCTCCATGCATAGTCCTCCTAGGATTCATACTCCTAAAGGATAATGCTTATCCTTTTACACCCCCATTGCTTAAACCAAGTGGGATGGTTTTTACTACGGCCGAACTACCATTTAACCGAAGTAAACTGGCTAAGCTGAGCCACGAGGTAGGCTGAACTATCCCTAGTTCGGCCCTTCCATTTACTCCTCATCTTGGTTCTCCCTTGCATGAACCATGATATGTTGGGACCGAGCTACCGAGTAGCAAGGTCTTGACCGACCTATCCAGAATACGTCATGACCGGACTAACTCGGAGACCGGACTAATTCGAGTTGTCCAAACCGAAGTAGCTTCACAATTCCTGTGCCGAAGTAACTTTATTTCTCTTGGACCGGAGTAACTTCTCGGCCCATTTTACCCAGTCCGTCGTACTTTGAGCCATAAAATCCATTCCATAACTCGGCCCAATTTTCACCAAAAATTACCCTCTCAATGCTCACCCTCTTCTGAGCTCTTTTTCTCATTTCTGTTTCTGGCCTTCTTTCTGTATGTGAGAGAGAGAGATCTTCAAAGAGCATTTAATGTCGTTTACTATTCAAGAGTAGAGTACACCAAACAAAAGCATCAGAAACGAAGGAATATATCGTGCTGTTGAGTATATGATTCCGTCCCTCCCTAGGGTGGGGGGGTTACATTTATTACTAGTTATACTAGCTTAGTATTGTTTTGTTAGTATCATTGTGGAATGTTGGTTGTTTCTTCTGAGGAATAGAAAAAAGAGAAATTTTAAAAAGACACATTCAATCCGGGACTGTTCTTTTTTTAGCTGTAAATGGAGAGCCTCCAAGGACCCATCAATCCCTGTGTATGTTGTTCCTTACTTAGCTCTGTCTCAACTTCTCTTCTCTCGTACTACTTACTCTCTTCTCTCAAACCTCCTTTTCTTTTCTTTTCTTTTCTTTTCTTTTTTCTTTCTTCAATTCGGAAAATGGCACAGCATTTACTTCTCTTTCTCTCAGTGTGTGTGACAGTAGTAGTAGATCAGTGGTTAAATTTAGCATAACATTCAATGCAAGTGTGTGGTTAATTTCCTTAAAACTGCTATGTCTTTTTCTTGTTTTAACATTCTATTCTCATTCTTGTTCTTGTTTCATTTTTCTTTATCTGCTCCCGACACTGAGCCAGCCCACAACCCAATTTTGTGAATTATTTTTTGCAGTTGTTTGGGGAAGAGCATGTGGATGTAGAAACCACTAATAAGACCTTGGGATTCAGCTGTTTTGGGCAATTTGTGAGCGCAGATCATCATAGCTTGAGTTTTCAAGAAGAAGAAGAAGAAGAGACACAACTGCGTTTGAGGAGAAGTGGGAGCTTGGAAGACAAAATGCCATTCCTTGAGATGCTACAGAGTGTGGAATCGCCATCATATTCCCCCTTGTGCGAACTCAGCCTTCAGGCATTGCTCAATTTACAACAACAACAACAGTCTAAGAATAACCCATGGGATCAGAGCCACAGCTTTCAGGCACCGGAACAACCAGAGAGTTGCCTCACGTCCTATCATGACGTTCTGGTCAAATCCGAGACCAACAACCAACAACAACAAGTGAAGCCCCCAGTGGAGGAGATGGAGATGGAGATGGAGATGGCGGAAACGAGAACAGGTAGAGATGAGAGAGGGTTGAAGACGGTGGTGAAGAGAGAGAAAAGAAAGAGAATGAAGCCTGCGGCAAAGAACAAAGAGGAAGCAGAGAGCCAGCGGATGACCCACATTGCAGTCGAACGCAACCGCAGACGCCAAATGAACGACCATCTCACTTCACTCCGCTCTCTCATGCCTTCCTCCTACATTCAAAGGGTAATTAATTAACATATTCAATTTCTTGCCTTGTTTATTCATTACTACATAATAATGTGCTCAATAACGTTCCATATATCCATTAAAATTACCTCCCTATACAATCTTTTGGGAAATTAATTATAGGGTGACCAAGCGTCGATAATTGGAGGGGCGATTGATTTTTTGAAGGAACTAGAACAGCTACTACAATCTTTACAAGCCCAGAAGAGAATGAAGAAATCGGAGTTATCATCAGACCAAGGAAGAGGAGGAGAAGAAGGAGGAGGCGGCGACACCGCCTCTTCTTCAACCTCCTCCTCCTCCACTACCGCCACTGAGAATTGTACGGAAGTGGGTATTACAACAACAGCAAGGAGCAAGGGGAGGAGCAATGAGTTCACGGCGGAGAAGAAGTCAGCGGCGGCGGATGTCAGAGTGACAGTGATCCAGAAGCATGTCAACCTGAAAGTGGAGTGTCCAAGGATCCCCGGACAGCTGCTCAAGGCCATAGTTGCCTTGGAAGGTCTCAAGCTAACGGTGTTGCACCTCAACATCACGTCCTTTGAAACTTCAATTCATTATTCTTTCAATCTCAAGGTATTCCACCCTCCTCTATGGGTCAAATCTGTCCCATTTTGCATGTTTTTTTGGACACAACTCGTAAAATTGATTTTCTACCGTGACATCGAACAGAGACTAATAAAATTTAGGATTAATTTGGCATGTTTAAAAAAAATCAAAAAGTCACTATCTTATTTAAGTCAAATCATCTTATTTAAGTCACGTTACCTTTCTAACATATCACTTCAAACCCAACTCAAATCCAACCTATAAATATATTTATTTAAATCATACTAACAACTCCTATAAGTCTCTGATTAGTTAAGTGCAATTTATCAGTTTTATTTAAAAATAATAATACGAGACTAAATTTAGAAGAAAAAAATATCTCAATACAGACCAACTATTTAGCGGAAAAATCAACCTAAAACCGGTCGATGTGCTCGGCATAAGCGGTTTTTCTTCACCCTACTCTCCATCACTTCATTCATTATTATCATTATTAATTACTTTATGCTTTTGCTATTATTTTAGATCAGTATCAGTAGTACCAACTCTTTTTGTTTTTTGGGGGGTACTACAGTCAACCATTTTGACTTGGAAGAAAGAAAAGCAGCGGTAATTGCCTTTTCTTTTCATACAAGAAATCCCAAACCCCTAAACCCAATTGTATAGTATAATGATATCCTCTGAGTGCCTTTTTATGTGGGTTTGACTATCTGAGCTTGATATGTACATGGTTTCAGATAGAAGATGATTGTGAGGTTGGATCAGCGGATGGGATAGCCGTGGCAGTTCATCAAATATTCAGCTTCGTCAACAACGATGACATCTAGTTCTTTGGTCAATATCTCACGGGGCGATGGATGTGTAGCTCAGTGCAATACACTCCACTACAGTCCATCATTATTGTATTCTCTTTTGGAAGGGTAGGGAAGAAAGATTTTTTTTTTGGAAAAGATTGTTTTTGTGAAAGAAACAAAAAAAAAAAATTTTGGAAAAAATTTTTTTTTTGAAAAAAAAAAAAAAAAAAAAAAAAAAGTAATGATTCATCCCCTTTTCTCTCCACCCCTTTGACCCCCTCCCTCTCTCATTGGTTACCTTTTCTTTTTTTTCTTTTTTTTTTCCTGCTCCTCCAATCACCTCCTGCCACGTGGCAAGGGGGTGAGGGGGTGACCCCCAAAAGGGGGCCCCAAGCATTATTCGAAAAAAAATTGAATGTCAGTGGTAATGCAGTCTGATTTTTAGCATATTTTTAAAATTTGTAAATAAAATGTAAATTATCTTTGATCTAAATAGTAAAATTTATAATTTTAAATGAGGATAACAAAAAATATATATATTATGAACTCACTTTTATCAATTTATAATTTATTCTGAATGTATTTGTGTGGTAGAATTTAAATTAAAAAAATGTGAAATTTATAAATAAAATAAATTTAAATAATTAATTTTTTAAAATAAATTTTGAATTCATAAATTTAAATTTATAATGTTCTTAAAAAGGATAATTCACTTTCTACCACTCATGACATATTTTCTTGGCACATTTTGAACAAATTCATTTCGGTAGTAATTAGATACCGATGGGGATGGGGAGCAGTGCGCACCCGAGGCCGAGGCACAGTTGTCTCCATCGGCTGTTTTCAACTGTAGAGAGAGAGAGAGAGAGAGAGAGAGACAAAAAAAAAAAAAAAAAAAAAAAAAAAAAAAAAAAAAAAAAGCTCAGATGACGCTTACTGCTTACCTTTTTTAACGTATATATATATATATATATTGTATTAATTTATTGGCGAAAAAATAAAAATAAAAATAAAAAAAATAGTGATTAAGAGTTTTAAGATTAAAATTTTAATTTGAGTTCTATAAAAATAAATATAAACAAGTAAGAATAAACATCACATCACATGTTGGATTCTATTGTTAGAATTCTAAAATTAGAATTCTCAATCATTTTTATATACACATGTTGGATTCTATTGTTAGAATTCTAAAATTAGAATTCTCAATCATTTTTATATAAAAAATATTGAACAAATTTCATTTTATCTACTCTTATTTGGATCATATGCAATTTATCTTCCTAACATTTAATAATGACTATATAATCTTTATTTGATTTGTGAGCTAAAATGCATTATTAAATATTATGTATAACTTAATGTGACACACGTGCAGACATAATGGGTTATATGTTCACTTTCAAAGTTTAAAGGATAAATTGCACATGGAACAAAACATATAGGATTAAAGTGTACTTTGCCTTGTAAATAAATGATGAAAATACGAAAATATTTTAGTCTTTTTTATTAAATCGTTAACAGACTTAATAGTACATTTCAGTTTACAAACCACAAGTGAGTCATGTGATTTTTTTTCAAATATAAGTAGATAAATCGCACATGACCCAAACCACATAAACTAAAGTGAAATTTGTCCAAAAATATTTGTAAATTCTTTATTTGTTTAGAACAAGTCCTTCCTAATCACGGGTCTTTAGCCTAGTTGGCTAACCCTTTGATCATTAAATCTTTCCTATGAAAGGGGTCTTAAGTTCCACTCTTAAGAGTGGAATGGGAGAGCAAGACTTTCTTGCAAGATTTATGGATATGAGTTTTAACTCTCTAAGCCTCCGTTTGGGAAGTGGGTTGGCTTTTTGGCTTTTTTGGCTATTTTAGTCTGGGCTAAAAAGTTTGGTTTGGGAAGGGCTTTTTGGCTTTTTAGCTTTTTTGACTTTTTTTGTGAGAGAAGAATGTAATGATTATGGGTTGGATGTGATATTTTGTTTTTTGTGGCTAAAATAGCCTATTTTGTCTTTTGTGGCTAAAATAGCCAAAAAAGCCCCGTTTAGCTCTTGCCAAACGGAGCCTAAATGTGTTAATCTAACAATTAATCACTGATTTTCGCAAATAAAAAAAATAGTACAAGTCCTTCATATATTAAAGTTACACTAAAAATAAGTCATGATCTTAAATAATTTATCAAATTTTTTTATTAAACCTCTCACATAAATATGAGACTTATACACATGTGGGCTTGTCTAAGTCTCACACCCATGTAAAAAATTTAGTAAAATAATTAATAAATTATTTGAGATCTATAGCATTTTTCAAAAAATATTATACTTTCCACTGTTTTTTACTTATTTACATTTTTTCCTAGTTTATTTGATGATTATTTTAGCGGGTAAATTATTCTGATTATCTTGCAGTTTCTTAAATTTATGTGAAACTAGTTTTGCATTGCTATAATTTTTTGCAACATGCATATGTTGCCTACAAAAGGTCACTATAAAAAAAAGTTGATTATTCTCTCTATTTTTTTTTAATATATTTTTGTAAAAAATAAAAAAATATATTAATAAACATCTTCCTAAACCAATCAATAGTATGAGTAATTTCAAATTGTTATTATCATTATATGGATGTACGGCATTAGATCTAAGAATTATTTTGATGGTAAGAATATGATTAATAAAATTGTTTAGTGTAAAAGACAAATTATTAGCTTAAAAGATAAATTTTTTTATTTTTTACTTCCTATTGTTGGAACATCGGTTGCTAAAAAAATTGTCAAAGGCAACTGATGCCTAGTACTAGCAATTAACGGTGGCTAGTGGTGATGTTGATGGTGATGATATAGATGGATAGGTAAATTAAATGAATAAATAAGTGATACGTGAACAAATAGATGAATAGCATGTGGACGAATAGGCAATAAGTGGACAAATTAAGTAACACTAGACAAATAGGTGAAATAGTGAATAGATAAAAAGATAAGTATAGATAATATAGTCTTCAAATTGTTATTGTAGCGACCCAAAAGACGAGCTTGGAATTATTGCCATAGAAGACAATGAGAATGGTGGATCCATTTCGGGCCAAGGTTCAACTGGTGGCCCGGTCCAGCCCTAAGCTCAGTTTGAAGTTACAAACGAATTGAAATTGGGGAATCTATCTATACTATATATATAAGCAAATGTAATAGAGTATGAGAATTTTCCAAACTCTTAATACTAAGGGCTGGTTTGGCAACTCTTGAAAAAGTCAAAAAATTACCCAAAAAATTAAACGTTATTACTATTTACCAAAAAATAATATACAAATATTAATACAAATAAAAAAAAAAAACCCAAGATTGGTATTGACGTGATGGTGGAGCCAGTGACCGGGGAAAAAAAATTATAGTAAAATATTCACTAAATTTTTTAATGGTAAAGTTGGGCCCGTGGGGGCCCATCATGGCTCTCGTTTTGATAATCTGAACCGTCAATATGTAGAACTCGTCTAGTACTATATGCCTATAAAAAATCACGTCTATCGGATATTGCTAACTACATGATCAAATCAGTTTTATATAAAAAATAGATTGTATTCTAGTTAACAGTTGACAAGAAAAACTAACATGATCAGATAACTATTGATATCCAATCAACGTGATTTTTAACAAACATATAGTACTCGACGAGTTCTACACATTGAACGGTTCCGATTAGTAAAACGGGACCCGTGATGGCCCCCATGGGCTGAATAGCACCGTCCAATTTATGCCCAAAAAGTAGAGAATCAATCTCCTAAACTATACCCCCTGCCGCGCTGCCGCTCATGCTTCCGACCGTATGGGCTATTCCATCTATAACTTCCCTATACACTTATTTATACAATTTTTTAATATACATTTTTTCATAAAAAGTCAAAAAATTAACCCTAACATCCATATTTTTTCCCTCAACTTTTTAGTCCAAAAAAACAAAAAGTACACTTATTTAGGACACCTCAAACAACCCTTAAACTCTTATGGATTCTCTCTCTTATGTGTCACCTCTTAAGTCTCCCCTTTCACTTTTTCTAATTTTTAATCATTTATCAATTATTGAAATCTCAAAAGCCAAAAGGATTATGTATATTTAAATAAAATGATACAAATTTAGATATGAACAACAAAGAGGTAGAGATAAAACTCTTAATACTAAATTCTTATGGATTTTCTCTCCTACGTGTCACCTCTCAAGTCTTTCCTTCCACTTTTTCTAATTTTTAATAATTTATCAATTAACTAATCTCAAAAGCCAAAAGGATTATATACATTTAAATGAAATGATAAATATTTAGATATGAACAACAAAGTGGTAGAGATAAAAATATAAAAATAAAATAAAATAAAAAGATAACTATTCAAATTTCAACCACAAAATAATATAAAGAGTCAAATAAAAGATTAAAAAAAATAACTAAATAAAAAATATTACGAGTCAATTAATTTTAAAAATAAAAAGTTTACTATTTATATATGAACATTTAAAAAATATTTAAATAAAAAAATATTACGAGTCAAATAATTTTTAAAATAAAAAGGTAATTATTTATATATGAATAACAAAAAAATAGAAATGAAAAAATATACAAAAATAAAAATCTAACTATTTAGATTTGAACTGCAAAATGAAAATTTAAATAAAAGATAAAAAAAAATATTTAAAAAAAAATTATGATTGGGATATAAATATTCCAAAAAGATAATTTTTTTAATGATCTATATTTATCTTTTGTTAGTTTTTTATAGAATTTTCATATATTCCAGTTTAATCTTTTTAAGTTTATCTTCAAGTTGAATTTAATATTTTATTTTTTAAAATCATCAATTAATTATCCATGCAAATTTTAAATATGATAAAATTCCATATGTATCTTTTGTTTAAGCATAATATTTTCAATATAAAAACAAGTTCCTGCAAAAGAAACCATGAACAGAAGATTGGGGGAGAAAACAATCAACATTGAGCCATTTCTAATCTCTTTTCGGTGCCTAAAAATCTTAAATATTTGCTTTACATTTAAAATGTGTACTTGGATGAGTTTTTGCATTTGTGAGAAAGTGAGTTTATGTAAATGGATATTATTATTTTATTTTTAAATTTTTTTGTTACAATCTGCATTTTTACTTATTTCTTTCTTTTTTGTTAATAATGTGTCATTTAATTAAGATTTTTTTT